CATTTTAGAATGTACTGACCTTTCCCCTTCCCTTTTCATTCTCCTTCCCCGTGTCCTGCCTTACTTCAAGGCCACTGTGTGGCAGACCTGTGCTGGCCATGGGGGCTTCATGGGCAGGGCAGGGCAGGGCAGGCACACTCCAGTGGCTGCTGCCATGGGCACGAATATATTTCCCTTTCCTCAGTCAGATTCTAGTTATCTGACCGTGAGTGCTGTTGAGGGTTTCCTGCTAGCCAGTCACAGCCTCTGTCTGACTGCCATTGGCCAGGGGCACGCATCTTTCCAGAACCACCTCCCCCTTGCCCTGCCCAGGAAGGCACCCAGGTTGAAAGGGCATGGGGGTGAGGGCAACTGCAGTTCTGCTCAACATGATGACTTCTGCTGACCTCTCCACTCACCTCAGCTTCCTTCCCCGGGAGCCAAAGCCCTGGTGGGGAGGTGGGGGCTGGTGGGCTATTTCCAGGGGCCCTGGATGGGTACGAGGAAAGCCGGCCTGTGGTGGTGAGCGCTAACACTGGTTGGCCCTGTGACAGCGGGTACAATCTGTCCTCTCCAGGCCCAGTCACCCACCGTAGATGAGAAGGTGAACTAGGAAACCTCCAATGGTTCTTGTCACCTCTGGAACCCAAGTCTGAGTCTCCTAACTGACCCACGTTATAAGATGAGCCATTGAAAGAAGCTCACAGATGCTCCTTTTCTTAACCCCAGGCCACTAGGATGGTGCTGGCATCTCAGAACCATTTTTGAGATCCTCCATCTTGGTCCTAGATCACAGTAGCAGAAATCTCACCATCATATTCCCAGATGGACACAGAGAGACCAGAGGGTATAGTTTCCAGCCCAGATGCTTTGAGAAAGGCCTGTCTGGGAGGCCAGATGAGAAGGGCTCTGAGAAGATCAGCCCTGACTGGCTGTCTTCTGCCTGGGGTGAGCATGCCCTCAAGTCCAGATCCTCCAGGCAAGGGGGACATGGGACTAAACAGCAGCACAACACCTGGCCTGGCTCTTGGATTCAGTAGCTCAGCTGCTATGATCTTTGACATCATCTTTTGGACAAACCTGCTCCTTCCGTGGGGAACTGGGGGATAGCATGGCAGGAAAGCAGCCTGTGTGCCTTCAGGACCTATGCCTGTGGGGGGGGGGTGCAGGCACTGCCCCTTGGCTGAGCCCTCTTGGCAAGGCTTGGTGGGGAGTTTATGGAAGACCCAGCAACTCCGGAGGGAGCCTGGCTGCACACCCAGGACTGTGGGCATGTCCACCTCCTCCTCAGGACCTCATGGGAGGTATTGTTGTTCTACAGTCACAGGGAGCAGCCTGGGGCCAGGGCCGGTGGAGAGATTTCTTTCCTGGGCGCACACAGTGAAACACCACCCCTCATGTCTGTGAGGGTGTCGCTTCTGAAAGGCTGCTTTCAACTGGCAGTTGTTTCATCATGCCAGTGGCTGCTCAGGAGACAATGTTTGTGTTTCTCAGGCCTCTTTTAGCTCCGGGAGAGAAACCCAACCCCAACTAGCTTAAACACAGGAGATACTGACCAGCCAGGCTGCTGCAGATGTCAGGGTGGCATGCAGAGTGACTGAGGAAGAGCTGGGCTTACCTGGGCCTCCAAGAGCTGTACTTCTAAAATTCACTTCTATTTCTTGCTGCTCTCTGAGCATACCTGGGTCTCATTTCTTTCCCCCTGGGAAAAGGACAACCCCATTAGGAATTCTAGTCAGATGAGACCCTCTGCCTCCTCCAGCCTGCCATTCCCAGGGAAGGGGCTCATTGGCTGCTTGAATCATGTGTGCTCCCTTGGAGTGACATCTGTCATTTTCATGAGCAGGAGCCCTGGGTTTGGCCAGTGGGCAGCACTTGTCACCAGAAGAGGTGCAGTGAGGAACACTGAGCCCTGGGACATATCTCAAGATGGCAGTTTCTTCTATACCTGGCTTTCACTTACCTAGTTTGAACACAAATGATTGTCTCTGCAGACACCTGGAGGGCAGAGGAGGGAGTTTCACCCCCTTCTCCACACAGGGAGTGAGACCCACCATGCCCATTGCCCCCACTGTATACACAGAAACACTGAGGCTGAGGGAAGGGAGCAATTTGTCATGCATCATTCAGTGGTAGGTGCAGGGGATAGGGAAATCAGTTCTCATACCCAGCCCAGAAGCCTTGCAGTCATTTTTTTCTGGTTTTGAGCCTTCCTGGGAAGGCCAGTGGAGCAGCTTCTTAACAGCACCAATTCCTCCCATCCCAGGACACGCAGACCTGTCTGGAATGTGGTTCCACTCAAAGGCGAAGTCTATTTCCCCTCCTGAACCTGGCTGGCCTCTGTGTGCTTGCCCAGTAGGTGGGCAGGGGGTGAGCTGTACTTCGCGCCCTAGAGCCCAGGCCTCAAGGCCTTGCAGTGCCTCTCTCACCTTCTTGGGGCCCAAAAGGCTGCAGTGCCAGGTCCCCAGGATGGACCAGTGAGTGGTTAGAGGCCTGTGCAGAGACAGGCCTACCTGTGGCCTGGGCCTGACTGAGCCACCAGTCGCAGCAGTGTGACTGAGCTCAGCATAGTCAGCTAAGCAGTCCGGGTGGCCCTCAGAAGCCTGAGAGTCTGTGACATTACCAAGGCAGGAATCTAGACATGGTTTGTTAAGCAGCAGCAGAGACACAAATCTTAGAGTGAAAAAGCTAAAAACTTTCAATTATTTGTCTGTCATTTCCC